AGGGAGGGAAGCAGAAAGGAAGAAAGAAAGGAGGAAGGGAGAAAAAAGAGGGGAGGGAAAGAGAGGAAGGGAAGAAAAAAGCAGGAAAGATAGCTAGACACTGAGGAACTTTAAATTTATTCTGTAGAGAGAGATGCATGCAGAGCAAGAGGGAATGACAGAAATCTGTTTTCTCTCTAAGATTCCTTAGGAAGGGGAGGGCTGTATTTTTTTCATAGTCTACTTCAATACGGGTTCAACCTCTCCTCTAGCCCACCACCCACCAGGGATAGTGGAAAAGAAAGGTTATTAGGATATGGGGAAAGTGGACCTGTTTAGAAATAGTTCTTTGGAGTCTTCCAATCTTTACTATTCTCAATCCAGTCCACTAGCAAACACCAAACATGATTGTGCAGTCCAGAGCAGCTGCAGTCCAGTCTACTCTGCAGACACAACACATGAATCAGCAAGGGCAGTTCGATCCAGAAAAAACTGCAAGGCTCACCACCTGGTCCAAGTCCTCTGCAGAAGTGGCAAGAACCTGGAGGACCCTCACAAGAAGTTCTTTGACGAGTCTCTTTCTATCATATCACCACAAGTGAAGATCAGCAACCCACTGCAAGACAAGCCAATACATGCATGTCGTCAGTGAAGCAGAGTGAGGCGGAGCAAGGCAAACCAGTGCGCGAACTCCCACTGTCTGTGGGGTCATATTTCTAGTCCTTCTAAACATCATACATCCTTTCATGTGTCTGCTACAGCAAAACATCCTTTCACCTGTGTGCCTCAGAAAACCATCATTTGACATGACTGACTTTCCAAAGTAACCACAAGTTTCCACTTCAGGTGACCGTGTGATTGGATCCATGAGTTGGTTTGAAGTGGCTGTCTTCATACTGAAGATATACACTCCTGGAACACTTCTTTGCTGTGTCTCCTGTATTCATAGAAGACTGAGGTATTCCCTCCCCCAAAGAAGGCTTAAATAAGACTACAAAAGACTACATTACAGCCCCACCCTGGATTCATATTGAATAAGAGGTGTTCTGAATTGAACCCATGCTCCAGCATGGCCGAATCTGGAGAGAAAGTCTTTAGGAGGCAATGGAGGCTAAAGGTCAGGTCATAAGAGCATAAGAGCCATCAGTCTGATATAACCTGTGACTTCAAAGAGGAAGAGGGCTGCAGAGATGGCTCAGCAGTCACAAGCACTTGCTGCTCTTGTAGAGGACCTGGGTTCAGTTCCCAGGATCCACACAAAGGCCCGCAACCATCTGTGTCCCTATTTCACATCCTACAAGAGAATTAATCAGGACGCCTTATATGATATGCAGGTAGCTCAGCAGGAACGTGAGCCCTGAGACCAGCAGGAACCATCAATAAGTTCTAGTCTGGTGCACTGTGAAGACTTCTCAGGGCCTGACACACAGTCAGTTGAATTCGTTACCAACTGTGATAGCACAGTGTCTGGAGAAGTGGCCATGAAGGACGTGAAGGGTTCAAGTTTCTGCCTTCTTGAAGTCTGTGTTCTAATAGGGAGATACAAAGAATAAGCAAGCAAAAGAATAAATGGTCAAGATAATTAACTATATCACTCCTTAAATAATTACATCACTCCCTGAAAGAAATAGGCTAAGTAGGAGGTGGAAGCCCAGGATGATCAGACCAGGAACCTAGAGGCAGAGACTGATGCTAAGACCATGCAGAGGTGTTGCTTACTGGCTTGCTTTACATGGTTTTCTCAGCTTGCTTTCTTAGAATCCAGGACCAGGGATGGCACCAGCTGGGCCCTCCCTCACTGATCTTATGGTGGTATTTCCTCAACTGTGGCTCCTTCTCTGGTGACTCTACCTTGCGTCAAGTTGACACAAAACCAGCCAGTACGATGGGCTAATATGAGCAATTCAAAGAAGCGAAAAGATGCAGGATGACACCTCAGGATCCTCTCTCCAAACACATCACTTTCCAACAAAGGAGTAGGAGTCAAACTAGGCATCTTAACTGGTAGTATCTCACAGACCTTAATCAAAGCACCAAGACTATATCCCAAGAGCCTCAGTAACCAATTCAATGTTCTTCCCAACACACACACACACACACACACACACACACACACACACACAAGCAGCAAGGACAAGAGCAAGAATATAGCCTTCCACAGTAACCATTTTTGCTGTCTTAGTAGCTTTGATGTATTCACTTCTGTGCCTTAGGGATACTCATACTTAACATTAAACATAGGAAATCACACCATTTGTTTGAATATGCAGCCTATATTTAATGCTCAGAATGAAAGGCACACAAGCAAGGAAGAACTTCGTGTTCTGAGCCTTCAGGGAACATGTTAGTGGGCACAAATGTGGAATTGACACACTGCAAATGAAGAGACTACAGGTACAGACAGCATGCATTCAAAGTAAAATGTCTACATGCTGATTTTGAATTTGAAAGTATTCATGTTCTTTGCCTTACACAAAGTTGAGAAACCTTATTTATTTTTTGTTCCAGAAGCATCACAACAGAAATTTCAGTACTATAAGCAGGAAACATGTCATGAAAATAGATCATGCCAACCTTTTTTTTTTTAAGTTTTTATTCTTGATACAGGTCTTGATTCACAGATACATACATACATACATACATACATACATACATACATACACACATACATACACACACATAACCTTCCCATCATATATATTATAAACAATGTCACAGCAGATGTCCTGGTCCTCTGGCTTAGTTTTTGCACTCCCTCTTCCCTAAGCCTCAAGTGTAGGGTCTGTGTTGTACATGTATTCACTGGGAGCCAGCAAGCCATTGGGTAAGTTGATCTCTGTGTCATCAGTTGTGGATTTCCATCTGCGGCAAAAAGCAGCTTTCTTGATGAAGGGTAAAAGCTACACTTACCTATGGATACAAGGATAAGTATTTACAACAGTGAAATTATACTGGGTTAGGGAACTGTAGAAGTGGGTTCTCATCCAGATTCCACCGCCTCATCATAGGTAGTTGGCTAATTTTATATTACCAAGCATGGAATCTCCATAGAGCAGGCCTCAAGTCCAATTAGGTGACTGTTGGCTACCCCAGAATATAAGTGCTACTACTGCACCATTTGGAATATCTTGCCATGCTGGTCATTGTTGTGGTCCATTGGTGTTAGAGCAGGATAGACTACTGGATGATTTCTATTGGCAGCTCGTTGTCTAGGGAAAGTGGTACCAAGCAAGCTCCTATTTCCCAATGATCAGGGTGAAAGGAAATATCAGAATTTTATGTAAAATATGTGTGATTAAAAAGGATTTGGGTTTTTTTTTCCAGATGTGGTAGTTCCTGCTTTTAATCTCAACACACCAAAGAAAGAGGCAGGGGCAGGCAGATCTGTGAGTTCAAGGCCAGTCTGGTCTACAGTGAATTACAAACTAGCCAGAGCTACGTAGTGAGTCCCCTTCTCAAAAGAAAACATTTTTTCCTTCCAGAGTCAAGGCAGCATTATTTGGTTCCTGTTTTAGGATATTATGAGAACTTTATAATTCACATAAAAACATTGTGTGATGCTTGATTTGTATTAGAAAGTAAATATTTGTTCTTCATTCTTGGCTTTATTTCTTGGCTCTCAAAATCCTTGAGATCTCCAGCAACGAGTATCTTATTCCTAAACTTCATCAAATGAGTATGTGGACTGTCTATTCTGATAAACAATTGTCAGACTGTGGAAAGTGTCTCTTGTAGATGATATGACTAAAGGCTAGTGACCCTAGCTGTAGGATAGGGACTGAAACACAAAAACCCAGGCAAGATTAGTGCTGGGACTTTGAACCCTAACCCCTAATCTTCCAACAAGGAAAAAGACAGAAGGGTGAAATGATTACCAATGACCAATGGGGAATCAGTCATGCCTATTAAAGAAGTCTCCAAAAAGCAATTTAGGTGTGCTTCAAGACAGGTGAACGTGGGGAAGTACCTGGAGGAAAATACACGGGGGAGCTCCTCTGAACCACCTCACCCTGTGCATCTCCAGCTGGCTATCCATCTGTACCCTTTATGAGACCTTTAGAATGGATCAATTACATGTTAATCACTCCCAAGGAGGCAGTCAAACTGGGAACACTAACATATGTTACTTCTCTCACCAATGTGATCAAACACCTGACAAGAAACAACTGAGGAAGCCGGGCAGTGGTGGCGCACGCCTTTAATCCCAGCACTTGGGAGGCAGAGACAGGCAGGCAGATTTCTGAGTTTGAGGCCAGCCTGGTCTACAGAGTGAGTTCCAGGACAGCCAGAGCTACACAAAGAAACCCTGTCTCGAAAAACCAAAAAAAAAAAAAAAAACCCAACTGAGAGACTTGCTTCATGGTTGAAGGGATGGCCCGTCGTATCACACAGTGGAGGAATAGAACAGGTGCCAGATGACAGAACTCGTGGCTGACTCCTTACCTCTGTCTCCACCCAGCAGGATGCTGGCTCAGCTGGCTTTCTCCTCGTCCTCCTTTTATTGAGTCTGGGTTCCACCTACATTTAAGGCAACTCTTATCCCTCAGTTAATGTTTTCTGAAAATATCATCACAGGAAAGTATCTCTCTCTAATGTTCTAGGCAGGTCATAATCCAATAAAGTGGACACTCCAAATTAACCACTAAACCCAATATACAGATAGCTGCTTTAAAATATACACACAACCTGGGACTGCAGAGTATCTGTAGTGTTCGCTGTCTGGGAGACAATTATCAGTTATAGAACAAGCAACCAATTACCCTGGAGAATCTGGGGCCAAAGTGTTGAGGGGTTTAGGAGCATATAAACACAGTTTAGTCCTATATCCCTCCTAATATACATTATATAACTAGATCTGTTAATAAAGAATTTATATGACTTCTGGATTTTAAGAGTAAAATTTCAAAAAAAATAAACAAAACCCCTTCAACTGCCTATTATTTACTCCTCTTACAGAAAACAACAGAAAGGACAGCATGATAGGATTGCTAATGCTGACACAGATACATCATGCAGACCTCTTGATAGTTGGCAACTTTTTTTATTAACAATCAAAAAACACTTTGCACTTACAATAGGAAAATAAATGCTTCTTTAACCAATAAGTAAATGAAAACTAGCCAGGACCTTTCAGGCCTTTCAGCAGGTGGCAGACATGATGTTCAGAAGACAGATGTTAGCTTGCTGGGATTAGTAGGATAGTGTTTTGCTGTGATTTATTTAAAAATGTACCTAACAGCTTTCTTAACAGTAGTGTGACAGAAATTAAAACAGGAAAAATACCCAGCATTTATACCTAGTTTTAGATATGACCTACATAAAACACCTAAGTACTGACTATATGGCTTCTATACTTTTTGTAAAGGTGCTCAACAGAAATTCGGATCTCACTTTAGACCAAGAATTTCAGGTGCAATAAGCAATTTCTAAACTCCAAAGTTTAATTAACACACAATAGTTCAAACAGCAGATACTACCTCAAAGGAAATATTTATTCTGCTTCCTTGTTTCCCTCCAGTGTTTATCAATCATGTTAATGTCTATTTAAGTTCAGCCACAACTGGAACACATGCTGTAGTGTGTTACACATACACACACACACACACACACACACACTCCTTCCCAGATGAACAGTAAATTTACTTGCCTCTATTCTAAAAAAGACACAGCTATATCATCTAAGCCTCATTGCTACTAGATGTAACTCTGTTGGTCTCATAAAGTCTACACACTGAGGAGACTTACCAGACACAGTGTGATCCCTCATCCTCACCAACAGAAACCCACAGCACAGACAGAGCCTCATAGAAAGTTCAACATTGAATTTTTTTTTAATCTGAAGCTTCGTAGGAGTCAAAGTCATATAAAGACAGTAGTCTCTGTAAATCTTTGTTAGCTCAAAATAAACGCTGACCTAAAGACTTGTTTTCAAAAGTCCATCCATCAACGACCTTCCTAAAAGGTCTGTTTAAAAGTGTTCACAGCCTTGTACACAAGGCTAAGTGGAACCATGTGACTCATTCGCTCAGTCCTCTCACTGTTCATACAATGGCTGCTACTCACTCTTACAAGTCCTTTGTCAGCAGTGACACTCAAAACACCTCACTAGCTTCTACACAGAATGCCAAAAAGTGCTTTGAATTTAAATTTTGTTTTGTTTTTTTAACTTTAGTCTTCAATATTGAAACTGCTAAGTCACTCCATTTTTCCATTAGGAAAAAGAAAAATATACTTGAGGGGAGGATTAGAAAATAAACTTGGGACAAAATAGGTTTAAGAAGAAACTCAATATTAAAAAAAAAAAAAAATCCCAGGGTCTGGAAAGAAGGCTCAGTGGGTAAGTGCTTATTGCTCTCCCAGATGACGCTCTCCCAGATGATCTCAGCCCCGTTCCCAGCTCACGGCTGCCTCTAACTGTTCCAGCTCTAAGAGACCCAGACCCAACACGTTCTTCTGTCCTCCACGGGCACCGTGAACAGAACATACACAGACACACATAATTAAAAAGAAAATAAACCTTTAAAAAATGCTCCATTAAGAGGTAATTTGCGTGCATGGGGTTGCTGACCACAGCCTTTTTGGTAATAAACAACATTAAACACAAACTATTCAGTAATGTCCAGCTGATAAAAGATTACATAGTCATTGAAGATGACAAGGAAGATGGTGAGATGAAATGTGAAAAGGCAGATTCACAAAAGGGCCCTGTTGGCATTTCCACAGTGCACAGCTCCACATGCAAACGCTGCACAGGAACACAACCAGAAACACTGTGTCACCTTTTCAGGAAAGGGCGTCCTTGAAAACAGTACAAAGGCCCTCTTGTGACTATAAATTCTTGAAACTGCAGAAAAAAATGAAGATACGTGTCTCTGAAAACTAATGTTCTGAAGACACCCTATTTGCCTACCCTCACTCAGAAAGTCATTTGCCTCTACTGAGAAAGGTGCCACCTCACTCAGGGTCCAGTTCTCCTGAGATACACAATTAATGGGGCTGATCGGCTTCCAGAATGCCCTGTGACCTAGTCCTCATGGTTGACATCATCGGACAGGCCCTGTCTACCCTGTCTACCTTGAGCACGTTCATACAGCACACAGATGGTTTATAAAGACAAGGTTAACTGTTTTTGCATCTCTGCCTGTAGAAAACCCAGAGGCACCATTACACTCCTCTCATAATAAACAGTCCTAAGTCAGGAACCAAAGAATGGTTCTGTTGACTTGTTTCAGTGCTGAGTAGAGCCCAGGGCCTTGCATAAGACAGGCAAGGCTCTACCACAGAACTCCATCCATCCTTAGCCTAGTTACAGAGTTCAAGTGAAAAATGGTGTTTCTGTGAAACTGTGATCATATAAACAAAGATAACTAGGTGATATCCACTAAATAGAGGACTACTTATGAAAAATAGCAATTTTTAATAGAAAAGAGAACTATTCAGTTCTCTATTTCATTATTAAACAACTCAGGAAGGAGAAAAGAACAACTCAATTTTTTTCTACTGCAGTAGAACAGGATTACAGACTCTCCCACAGGCCTCTAAAACATAGAGATGGAATATTTCTAACGGTCTTATAATGACAGTTATAGCGTTCAAGCAATTCAAGGCTATAGTGAAAACATTCAATCAAGAGCAATTCACACAGAGTATGTACTGTTCTCAAACAGTTGTACTAATAGTAAATTTAATTAAAATAAGAAATTATCATAACATTATGCTCATCACATATGTGGATAAACATCAGTAAAGATTACAGCTCTCAGTCATAGTGCTGCAGTGCTCTACACTACTATAAAACAGCCAAGGGCCTGGCATACTCAACGTGGCCAAAAGGCTTTACTTCTTGCAAGCTGTGTATCTTTCAGTAACATTCTCCCAGTTGATTACATTCCAAATAGCCTTCAGATAGTCAGGCCTGACGTTTTTGTACTGGAGGTAGTATGCGTGCTCCCACACGTCAATCCCCAGCAGCGGAATAAGGCCTGTGAGAAAGAGAGAAAAATTACTGTTTAATACGGCATCATTCACTTGTGTCTTAGGTAACAGAAAATTTGCTTACCCCTGCAAAAACATTTAAAGTTTTTATTTTGGAAGAAAATATAATAAATAATATGAAAGGTCAGGTTAAACCACAGAACCTTAATCCCTGCTGCTGAAATAGCAACAGAAGCGCCAAACATTGAAGCCCACCCTTCCTCCCGGCCTTAGTCAGGACCCACAAGTGAGAGGGGACGGCTAAGGCCCTGAGCTTCCATTCCCGAGAGTTGTAGGGGAGGAGGCTGAGAAACCAGTTCTACTCTCCAAGGGTACTTTCAGTTTTCTGGAATAAACATCAATGAGTCACTAAAAGGAATAGGTTAACAAGAAGCTAAACAGGACCAAAGAAAAATGAACACTGCCTTCAGAAATTAAATGGTATAAATGAAGAACTTAGTGCTACATTTAAAAAAAAATTAAGTCCTCAAGTCAGGTAAAGTAGCACAGGTCTGTGTTCCCAACACACGGAGGCTCAAGCAGAAGAATATGAAATAGGCCAGACCACCCTGAGTTACAAGGAACACTAGGTCCCAAACACACTTCTCAAGCCTTCCTATAAAAACATCTCAACCACTTTATCTAGGTCAGTTGTGAGGAACATAACTCGTTGCTAATAAAGTAGCGATATTTCGAGTGACTTTTCATCCCAGAGTGCTTTGTGTGTGGAGAGAAAGGACTGTGGAAACCACCACCTCTGTGTGGGGTACCTGAGAAGCAGGCCTGACTGAGGGACTCACTGTATGCAAGATAAGCATGGCTTTAACAGATTTGGTGGCACCTCGCCTCCCCAAAATCTGACTGTGCATGAAGAATGAGTGACACAGCAGAGGTGAGGAGAGGGGCAGGAGCTACTGTCTGAGACGTCACAGCACAGAGTGGAGAGCGGAGGGCGGAGGAGCCACAGCCAACCGACTGCTACACACCATGGCGCTCCACTTCCCTCAGTCTTCGGTGACATAGAGGATAACCAGGTCAATCAGACCCAGGGAACAAGAAAGCATTTGCTGAGCAGGGAGTGTCACACACTGAAGCCGTGCAGGAGGCAGGACTGAGGGCCTAGGTTCTGGCCCCAGTTTAAGTCCAACACTCATGAGGAAAGCACGCGTTCCAGGTCAGGTCAGCCTGCATTTCTTTCTTCCTTTATTGCTTATCTAATAATCTTAGGTTCTTATTGTAGTGCATACAATAAATCTGACAATAATCTTATATAGAATGAAGCAGAACTTATCATTAAAACAGTCTTATTAAAGGAGTCTACAGGGCTGGAGAGATGGCTCAGTGGTTAAGAGCACTGATTGTTCTTCCAGAGGTCCTGAGTTCAATTCCCAGCAACCACATGGTGGCTCACAACCATCTGTAATGGGATCTGATGCTCTCTTCTGGTGTGTCTGAAGACAGCTACAGTGTACTCAATATACATTTAAAAATAAATAAGTAAATAAATAAATAAATAAAATCTTAAATAAATAAATAAATAAATAAATAAAGGAGTCTACAGAAATCACACGTGCTTATTTTACAGACTATCAATCAGTTTTTATTATAAAGACTCTGGGTACAATTCATTAACATTTCCTCAAATTATCACACATTCACACGTTTAAACTCTGCTAATTTACCTTATTTCTAACTTATTCCTTTCTAGGAAGCCATATCTCTGACACGGAAAGATTAAGAGTTTTGAAGCTCTCTCACCTGTTGTTCCTTGCAGAGGGTCCTGATTAGAGCAGGCAGCAATCTGTAAGCGACCTTGCTCCTTATTGAAGCCAAGCCAGCCCCAGCCTGAACCTTGGACTCCCACAGACACGGCTGTCAGTTTCTCCTTAAACTTCTCAAAAGACCCAAAGTCACGCTTGATAGCCTCCAGCAACTCTCCTGAAGGAAAAAACAAAGCCAAAAAAAGACTTCAAAAGCTACAATAGAATGTTAGGTTCACAACACTAAAATATTCTTGTCAAAGGACCGACTGGACCACACCTGTGAGAAGATGCCTACGTCCCACCACAAGGACACTGGGCTGAGGTTGACTATTGAGTGCAGTCAGGGTCTCTCCGTTCCTTGTGCTAGTGAAGGAAGCCAGGAAGGGAAGAGCCTTCTCCATAGGCTTCCTTTCTGTTTTTCCCATGTCATAGTTGTGCCCCTATCCTATGACCCCGTTTGGAAATTGAAAGTTACTGCTGTTATTCAGCATTCTCCAAGCCTAGATCTTCTCATCTTTATCATACTGTTCTTTAAATGAAGGCTTCTCTCTTGTTATTGAGCTACTGATACACTTAGGAGGGCTGGAGCAGAGCTCAGTGAACAGATCTAATATTCATGAAGCCCTGGAACTGACCCCAATAAAGTAAAGAGAGAAAGAGGGAGCAGTGAGGGAAAAGACAACCAACATAAACACACACACACACACACACACACACACACGCCCCCGGACTCAAACTTCTGAGCCTCCTGCCTCTACCTCCCAAGTGCTGGGATTACAGGCATGTACTACCCCAGCCCTAGAATCTTTTCATTCTGTAGCAATATAGAACTGATTCTACATGAAGCATATCAACTGAATCAAATGGGTCCCAACATCTCACTTCCCTCATTCTATTGGCTAAAGCATAATTATCTTTTACAAACAATGCTAATGCTTCAAGTGGTACGAACTATGTAACAGAAACATCAACAGGAGGAGGAGGAAGAGAAGGAAGAGGAAAAAGAGACCTCAACACATCTCATATCCTGCTCATAGCCAAAACCTCACAGGTATCTAGTCATGGGCTTATTATTAGTGAATAAGTCAGGCTGCCTTTTACACCAATGGTTAAAAATAAACAAACAAACAGCATGAACGACATAATGTTGGGAATGTAGCTCAGTAACAGAAGGTTGGCCTAGCACATGGAAGACCAGGCTTCAATCCCAGCATCACCACCACAGAGATGGGGACTGGAAGAGAACCAACAAGACCAAATACTTAAGGCACATGAAGAGGGAGGAGATCTATACTATAGCCCTCACTTCCCTAGTCAGAGGATAACTGAAGTCAACTGAGCCTCCATAAGTCACACAGGAAGTCAGAGGAAGCATGGCAGCCATATTGATAAGGTGGCATAACTATCTAATGTCTTACAGGAAGTATACAGTGTACAGAGTGCCTGAAGGGTAGAGGATTTGTTTTTGTTGTTGTTGTTATTAATGTTATTTTGGTTTTGGGGGTTTTGTTTGTTTTGCTTTTGGGGGGTTTTTTGGTTTTATTTTTATTTATTTTATGTATATGAGTACACTGTCACTGTCTTCAGACACACCAGAAAAAGGCATTGGATCCCATTACAGATGGTTGTGAACTCAGGACCTCTGGAAGAGCAGTTAGTACTCTTAACCGCTGAGCCATCTCTCCAGCCTGAGGATTTGCTTTTGTTTAAAGACAGGTAGACTATACACACCCTTCATTGCACAAAGTTTCTCTTTTTGTTGTTTTTGTTTTTATTCTCATGGAAAACTTGTTTTACTGGGGCAAGTGAGTTTTTCATATTAAAAATAATAATCAAAAGCACTACTCCAAGCCCTTTACATGCAACTCTGAAAGCAGACCCCTAACTACCCCTGTATCCCATGGATGAGCTCAGATGGCTGTGTGTCTTCTTTCCCAGGGTCCAGGGCCAGCAGTGGAAAGGTCATCTTCTCTAAGTACTAGGTTTGCCCAGGTTTCCAGGTTTTCCCTAACACTTATCCTAAGAGTGGGCAGTGCATGCAGGGTGTGTGAGCACGTGCGTGTGTGCGTGCGTGCGTGCGTGCGTGCGTGTGCGTGTGCGTGTGCATGTGCGTGTGTGTGTGTGTGTGTGTGAAGTGGGTGACAGAGCTCCCTGGACACATTCTCTACTCCTCCCTTTGAAACTTAACAACTCGTCACATCCTGACTGTAAAAAAAATACGCTAAAATGATAACTCAGGAAGAACTCAGATAATAAGAAAACAGACAGTCCTCTGGAGGCAAAGTCAATGGGCACATATGTGGCATACAGAAAACACTGAGTTCAGTCCCTAGAATAAAAAGAAGAAAATTACCTCCACACACAGATATATACACATAATAAAATAAACTGCCTCAAAAAAATAAACAGATTAATAAATCTAACTGTTTACATATTGATTTCCAGGCCAGCAAGAACTACACAGTAAGACTCTTTAAAAGAAAACATTAAGGAAGCGGGGCAGCAATCATTCCTACTGTACATCAAATATAAAGCTGTACCAGCATATACCAACCTTTGGGTTCTCCACCACCCTTAGGGCTCAGGTTTGTCCAGAAGATGGTGTGATTAATATGTCCCCCACCATTGAACTTCAGTGCAGGCTGAAGGGCAACCTGAGTTGTAACATCTCCTGAAATATAAAAATGTAAACCTTTTAAAAATCCGTCCTCAGCCAGGCAAATAAAACCACAGCTTTCTTCTTCTCGGCAGCATTCACTAAACAAATAAGCTCTGGCTCCACGGAAGGATTAAAATTAAGATGTGTCTACAACATTAAGAGGAAAGTTTCCTGGGTGTCAGATGTCACCTTAAAGGAACTGCTTTCCCGACTTGGCTATTCCCCGGCTTCACTCTTACCTCATCCTTCCTGAATCTGTTATTTCCTGAATCAGAGTCTCTTCCCGTATTCAAGATTTCTGTGATTTGCTTATTGCAAGTAAAATTTCCAGAATGTGGTAATTTCCTTCTCTGAGTTTGGCCATTTACACAATTATGCTGAAATGCCACACTTGTCCACTAGATGCCCCTAGTCAACCAGATGTCACTGACTAACATTTTACTCAACCAATTTCCCAGACCTGAGACTCAATAAAGTACATTTAAGAAAAGGAGAGAGAGAGAAAAAAACTTGTAAAAGAAAAAAAAAGAAAGGAAGGAAGGAAGGAAAAAAGAAAGAAAGAAAGAAAGAAAGAAAGAAAGAAAGAAGGAAAGAATTTTACTGTCTAGGTTTTCAAGCAATACCGCTAACCTAGAGACATGACTACCAATTATTCTCCTTGTAAAAACTAATAGATTAAAAAGACAACATACTATCTTGTTTATCCATTAAAACAATAGTCCCAGGAGTGATGGTTGGCTCAACAGGTAAAAAACAAAAAAGCTCTTGCCAGGAAAACCCAACACCCTGACTTGAATTGACAATCTGAGCTCAGTTTCTGGATACCACAGAGGAAGGGGGGAACTCCCTGACTTCCTCTGACTCCTCTAACTTCCATTAGCTCTGTGTGTCAGCACGCATCCATTCACACACGTGTACACACACACACACACAGAGATAGGTTTTTAATACCACAGCATTCCCATATACATCAGCTGGGGTGCACACACAGAAGTCCACATACTACGGATTGTGTTGGCTGAACTCTTAAAAACATAGGTAAATAAGTAAGCTTAACTACTGTTCCATTCAGTGACAGCTACTGGATTCTCACAAAATAGCTATTTTTACTGTGAACTTTGACCCCAAAAGCACCAAGCCTGTTCTGCAGCTAAGTGCTAACTCCTATGTCTTCCTCTCCCACAAAGGTAAAAGGTGTGAAACAGGATGACCACAGGGCAGAGACATCCATGGGGCCAGGGAGTCCAAATCCTAGACTGAACTAATCCTACTGTTGTCCAAAACAGTGACAATAATCACAACTTGGGCTGCAGTCTCCTGAAGCCACTTCAGATCCTCTCCTGCACCTGCCGCCAGGCCACCAACATCACCTGTTCTCAGCAAAGCCCCAGCCACTGCTAGTGGCTACAGCCACCCTGTCACTCAAGGGCACCTGGCTGACCCAGCCTGGGCACTCTCAGCCCTCCTGAAAATGGCTGCCAAGGCTACCTGGAAAAAAAAGCAAAACAAACTTTCCCAAAGCCACGTTATATAACAGCCATAGATTTTAAATATCCGTACGCAAAACAAAAACTAAATATTCATTACACAAAAAGGAGCGGCATCCAGGAGCTGTCTTTAAAGGACTCCCGATTTACCACCAACGCTAGCCAGTAACACAAGTGACCAAAAAAACAAAAACAAAAAACAAAACCACTCACAATAGTAAAGCCTTTCGTGAGCTCCTGTGTTTTCCAGGATACTAAAGGACGTTTATGCAAACCAACGGAGGTATTCTCCTGCATCGAAACAGACGTCCGTCTGGACACGGGGAGCCTCCCGTGCAGGGGCCTCGCACCTACCCTTGGCCAGCGCCTCGTGGTACTTCTCCTCGGTGGCGTTCAGATTGTTCACGTAGGCCGCGTGGTGCTTGCTGTGGTGCAGCTGCATGATCTGCGCGTTAATGTGCGGCTCCAGCGCGCCATAGTCGTAAGGCAGGTCGGGGAGGCTGTGCTTGTGCCGGGAGCCCGCGGCACCGGCCACCGGGGCCAGGCTCCTGCCCGCGCTGGGAGGGACAGAGAGGACGCCGGGTCATGCCACTGACACGGCGAGCCAGCCACATCCGCCGCCCCGAGACCCACCCGTGGGGGACGCCGCGGCCCCCGGGCCCTGTCGCTCACCTGCACGCCGCCCGACACAACATTGCTGAGGCTCCCACGACCGCTGCTCCCCTCAGAACGCAGCCGTTCGCTCGCAAGCGCGCGTCTGCTCTGCGGCGCCCACCCGGCGTCCGCAAGGACACAGCGAAGCCGTGACCCTGCAGGGTGCGCCCATCAGCGGAGGGGAGGACGGGACACTGACGGCCCGGCGCGTAACGGAGCGGCACCCAGGGAAAGCCGTGTCTCCCCCGCGTAGAGTTGGTAGAGCCCGCCGGCTTGCCGTGACTACGCCCCCTGGTGTGGCCACGCCCCCTTCACCGGCTTTGGCCCCGCCTCGCCTCGGGCCGCCCGGCCCCGCCCCCGGTGTGGCTATGCCCCACCCTCCGTCTAGGCCCCGCCCCTCCTCGGGCTGCCAGAGCCAGCTCTGGCTTTGAGCTGTGATGCCTCCCTCCGCTCCTTTTCCACTCCTGCTTCTGGGAAGTCCTGGAGACTTTCCTCCGGGAAGCCACGGCCCTGCTGCTGGTCAGAGCCATGGCGTAACTAGGGCCCCTCTGACCCAGTTAATTTATGCCCGGAGTGACCTTCTCCGAGACCTGATCTCCGCAAGCTGCCCAGTGACAGGGCTGCTGAGTTTAAATCATGTCGCAGGTTTGCGTGTGTTCATCTTTGTTGCCCCTGAGATTGGGGTTGCTGACTTCAGGTGCAGTATGCCAGCCTCGCAGTTAACTAGCAAGAGTTGGGATTAGAAGGCGAGGTTCATCTTTCCTGATTAAACTCTGCGGCATTTTGTGTATTCAGTGACTTCGAAAATGAGCTACTCGGCCGGGCGGTGGTGGTGCACGCCTTTAATTCCAGCACTTGGGAGGCAGAGACAGGTGGATTTCTGAGTTCGAGGCCAGCCTGGTCTACAGAGTGAGTTCTAGGACAGCCAGGACTACACAGAGAAACTCTGTCTCGAAAAAAACAAAACAAACAAACAAAAAAAAAAACCAGCTACTCGACCAAATGTAAAAGGACATCGTTTCCCTTTGTTGACTTACAGTCTAATAACTGTGGCTATCAAATTCTTCCATAACAATTTACAAAGAATTTAAGACAGTTTTCCTCTGCCACCGATAGGGTTTAGGTTTTCCCTGATTAGAAGACACTAAGGAAGCAGAAGGCTGAGTAGTTCCCGTTGTTTTTTTCCACCCCCTTTACAGGCCTCCTAAGGATGACTGGGCTTAGGGTAAGGGGAATTTCAAGAGGATGCTTTCTGCCAGAGGGAAACTTGTCCACAGGCCTCAGACCCGGGTTGTATTATGGATACCCGGAGTCAGCATGGTTGAAAAGAGAAGTTGACATGTTAGCAGAGGAAAGGTGGTCTAACACTTGTTACCATGAGGGGCATTCTAGTCAGCTCCACAAACCTGAACTCAAAATCTCTGCGTGAGTACAATGATCTCAGCTGTGTCCTCTTCAGAGTTTTCTTTTTATTAGGTTAGTATAGACAGTAATGGGTTTCACTAGGGCTTTTTCATCTAGATTTATTTTTCTTTCATGTCATAAATATTATCCAGACAGGAATCTAGCACAAATTACTTATGCCATCTCCAGAGACACAGTCTCAAATGCCCGTCATCCCAAATGCTGAAATCCCAAAAGTACCAAATCCCTAAAATTTCCTGAAGACTGTAATGCTGGAATTCTGAAGCCAAAAATCCCCAAAATTTCAATTTTCATGGTTTTTTAAAGCAAAAAAGTTCTCATAAAATGGGTAGAAATCGAATTCTGAGGAGATTTCTACTCACAGAATATAGATGGCAACAACAATTTGTAAATGTGCCGTCTGCCCTGACATTCCTTCCAGCTAACAGAATTTTGGAGTTTTTATCATGAATCAAAGATGCACTTGAAACAGGTAGGGAACACTACAAACAGGAGTGTCAACCCCAGGTCCTTAACTGTCACCCATTGAAAGCATACTCTCAGTACCACATAAGACCATAATGTTTAAAGAACAGGACTTGATGCCAAAACTAGTGGGGCTCAAGATGGCTACACAAATGACAAAAAGAAGAAACTGTTACAGGGAAACAGCATGGCAACAGTCCTAACGAAGCCCTCTCCCTTCAGTAACTCATTATTATTATTATTAATTATTTACTTTTTAGTTATTCACTTTGCATCCCGCTCACTGCCCCCACCATGGTCACCCTCACCCACAATCCTTCCCCCATTAACTCCCTTCTCCTCTGAGCCGGTGGGGCCCTCCAGATATCCCCCCACCCTGGCACTTCAAGTTTCAGCAAGGCTAGGCGCTTCCTTTCCCACTGAGGCCAGACAAGGCAGCCCAGCTAGAAGAACATATCCCACATATAGGCAGCAGCTTTTGGAACAGCCCCCACTCCAGTTGCTCGGGACCCACATGAAGACCAAAGACCAAAGTGTACCCAAGTATGTCCTTTAGTTCAGTCTCTGAGAGAGCGCCAAGGGTCCAGGTGAGTTGGCTCTCTTGGTCTTCCTCTGGAGTTCCTGCCTGTGGATAGCCCCGGGCCTTGTATTTTGATGCTAATTCCCCTTTCCTGGAAGGGATGCAGAGGAGTAAATCAGTACACAGGTGAATTCTAGTGAACCTTCTGCCCACCTTAATTTGTAAAATAAAGGCTGGAGTCAGTGATTGGGCAGAGAAGGGAAGATGGAGAAGTAAAGTTTGGTGGAAGAGAGAGAGGAGGACAACTGGGGAGGAAGACAGTGGAGGAGGATGACAGAGGAGCAGGAGGTGGAAGAACAAGCGTGCGGCTTGGAAACCCGAAAGTTATAAGGGTCTCATAGCTGGGGAATAGAGTAGTGTAGTGGTGAATCTGCCCAACCTAGACGTGCAGCTTATATTCATAATTATTGAGTTGTGTTTTCTTTGACCGGTCTAATTTGAGTTGGAGACTTACCGCAACACTGTCCCCTAGGGGGCTGCAATCCTTCCTCCTACTCTTGGCTTAATTAACTGAGAAACCATTAATTCTATAGGCCACGTGGTTGAGCAACACATTGTTAGTTTTCTGCTAGTTTTGAAATGTGGATTCGAGAACCCTGGCCTAGACAACCTCAGTTTTTTATCAAAATCTGTCCACCTAGTGGATGACTTAAATGGAATCACAGGTTTGGCACCTCTGTCTTCACGTTGTCTGCCCTTGTCTGCCTTAACTTTAGAGTCAGACTCAACTTGAGACTTGCCAGTCACTTGAAAAATGCTTTGCTGAAGTCCGTGGCCCAGTGTGAATTTGGCTTGCTATGCTCTGGAGCAATTATGTGTTTCTTCTGCCCTACCCGGTCTGTCTCTGAAAGACAGCTGTTGTGCCTTATTATACGGTTCAAACCAAACCATGAGGCTACGGTACTTATGCAAGATGATGATGTCAAGAAAACCCCACAGTTCCCGAGTTAAACCTCTGCTCATCACCCTGAAACCTCAAGGCCAGTGTGTGTGCATACAGGAAAAACATCTTTCGAAACTGTTTATGACTCATGGACAATTACCAACCTCAAGGTCCCCTCACCCACAACTCAGAAAAGACTTGCTGCTCTTCATTGAGAGGTTTCCTTCTCGATCAAGGCTGTCTCCCTTTGGCTTAAACTGAAGCTGGCCAGCTTGGACTGATGTCCCTCAAAATGTGAAATACCTATCTTCCCATTTGTAATATTTGTAACCCGAGGAAACCTGCTTCCTCGGCCTCCAGGGTGCTTGGAGTAGAGGCATGCATCGCCACAGCTAGCAGCTCAGCCCCTGTTCTCCCATGCCCTGGGTTCCTATCATCTAGTATGGATGGCTTGAAGAAGCCAGCAGAGTCACTAACTGGTTGCAACAAAATTAAGTATGTGGCATGAGACACATAGGGGTGATGCTTTCACTCACGAGGGCTGCTTCCTCTGTTCTATTCTCTGACATGCAAGTGAAATGTACCTCACACCCGAAAGACAGAACTCGTTCCTGTCTCTCACCCCCTTTCTGTATGTATGTGATGTATGTACATGGTCATATGGATAGATTTAGATACATATGGGTATGTAGGTGCTGTGCTCATGGAAGGCCAGAGATCAACGTCCCGTGTCTTCCTAAATCATTCTCTCAATGAAGCTGGAGCTCATCAATTCCCTAGGTCCCCATCTGTCTCCACCACTACCACAACAGCAGCCAAGTTACAGCCAGGTACTGTAGGGCAACGCGCGCGCGCGGGTCGCAGGCGGGGACGCAGGTCGCGGGTCGCGGGTGGCAGAGCGGCGGTCCCGGGCGCTCTGCTCAGTCGCGCTGGGCGGAGCCATAGTCTCTGGAACCGAACCGCGGAGAGAAAGGCTTCCCATCCCCCTGCCCCACGAGCCAGAGCGCAGCAACAGGGCGGGCGTCCAGGGAACCGCAGCTCTCAAGAGAAAGTGTTCCGGGCCCACTAGAACAAAAGGCTTCTCTCTCCCACTCCCACCCCGCAGCTCGGTTTTGACCTTACACAATGAGTCCAGGATTCCAAGAGGCGCGTAGAGCTGAAGACGTTTATTAACATGGCTATGTTTCTGGTGTACTTTCCCAAAAAATGTCGGAAGGGTTTTGCTTATATTGGAAGTGGGACAGGGGGTTGAAGGGCGGGACCAGGGAAATCTTGAGGCAGAGACTTGTTCCCCTGCCCTCTACTTGGGACATGGAGACCTCGTGGAAGGTCTCTGGGCTCTGGGGGCGTGGCCAAATACCCCAGGGTTCCACATCCCCACAAGGTACCACTACCACAACAGCAGCGGAGTTACAGACAGGTACCACTA